TTAACACCAAAGAATGAAAAGTAAAGCAAACATGGAATTGTGTCAATTTAAACAAGTAATTTTCAGAGAATAATTTAAAGTATTATGACATTTTAAACAAATTCTTTAATAGCTGTAAACACTTAGTTTAACAATATTTGGAATCCCAGGCTATAATCTTAGAGTTTGCCAAATTGAAGTAGACCACTGAGGTACATAAACTAAAGGACTAGTGTCTTCCTTGGTGGACTAAAGCTGATTTAACCATCCTCACCACCCTTACAGGGAGCAGACCAGACATTATATTCTGCAAATATCCATCTGAGGACCAAAGACATGGAGAGAAAATAAAAAGGAAGTTCTTAATGATTTGAAAGTTTTTCAAATTTGACAAAGAAAATATAAAAAGATAAGAGAAAGAGCTCTACTGTATAGAAGAAAAGTCTGTATCAGATCGTAACAATGTAGTATGAACCACATTGAGGCTGCTTAACATTCATCTCTTTGTTGAATAACTATTATGTACTAAAATTGTGCTCAACCTGTGCATGACTTGGTTTATACAACTATGAAACTAGAATTTTGCCAAAATATTGTGCTGTTTAGACTGCTGCAAAGATCACTTAGACAGATTGATAAATGCAATAAATTACTGCTCTTAACCTTTAGATTAACATATAGGTCCTTTCCTAGCTGTCTGCAGCTTATGAAGAGAATGAACACATTTCCCAGGCAATATCTTATGCTAATTTTTAAAAATGAAATATATTAAAAGAAAAATTATTTTTATGAGACAGTGAAAGATACTGTTTCTTAAAACAAGACCATAAATAGACATATTCTGGGTTTCCTTTTGACCTTGTCAGGCCTCATGGACTCACTTTCTTAGACCCCCCCAAATTCCTCTATCAATACTTCTATGACTTGGCACCTATCTTCTTGTTACTTCATCCACATTTAATTTTCATTAGATTTATTCAATCTACTGGCACCCAGGAATCACCATAGTGATATTCTGAGAAAATACTTAATATTGGTGTGAGGAAAAGAGGCCAGGAGAGATAGCTCTGACAGCAGGATGAGTGAATAATAATAGTGCGATTCCTGACTTAGGGCTGGGATAAGAAGGCATAATCATAATCTGATTTGAAGATTCCTGGCATATAAGAGTCAAAAGAGAAGAAACATGACAAATTTCAAGTCTAAGTGAAGAAAAGTAATATGGAAAATGTGTGGGGAAAGACACTTAGTTCAGACGTACATGTAGCATCCTGTACTACCTACGACTGAGAGAAGATTATAGATATTCTGTCTGCGTTTCTACATTGCTGACGCCATTTTTTCTTTTGTAATTTCCAATTTTGCTATGTTGAGCAGGCATTGCCTTATTAATGGAAACAGTCATTTTATGCAACTTTTCTGTGACATATTAATCTTGCAGCACACCCATATCATAAAGGTTATGTCCGGCATGCAACTAAAATTGTAGTAACTGAAATTTATGTAAAAAAGTTGAACGCAGATTTACCTGAATAGAATTTTAAGTTCTGTAATTACAAGATCTTCAAGGAAAGGAGACCAAATTAAGCAGGGTGAGAGAATAAGTTCTCTCTTAATTTGTACAGCCCTGGAGTCACACACAGGGAGCAAACAGGTGCTAGGTAGAGGTAGGGTTGTTCCTACATACCCAAATCCAATCTCAAAAAGTGACCAGATACCATGAATAGGATCCCTTTTGCATTCCAAAGTGTTTTGAAGTTACTTGTATCAGTATACTTTACACACTTTTGCAGGGATTTATTTGCCTTCCTTTTGTAATGTCAATTCATGTGAACTCCTTGAGGTCAGAAATCATGACTTATTTGAACCTAAACCTTGTTTGCTTTCCCCTTATCTGGCACAGTGCCTCACATATATCGGGCACTTAACATGCTTATTTGCTGAAGGAACCACACATATAAGAGCCACACATATATTCCTCTCCATCCCTCCTCCATTCAAACAACGTAGAATTCCTTGGCCAAGTGGCTGTATGATCTCCCCTGAAAGATGAAGCATTTCCCAGCTGCCCAATATAGTCTTCGCACATAAGAGTCAAACAATTGCCCTACAGTAGTCCCTGAAATGCTTTCCCTATATGTCCCTCATCTATTTTAAATAGTCATGAATTTTGCTCAGTGTACACATTATTGATCAATAACAACATATACTGAATTATTCCACAGGATATTTATAGCATCTATAATTAATAAGCCTTGAAACAAGGCAATAAACTTCTCAACAGAGAATTTCCCTGACTTCACATGCATATTTATTTACTTATTTGATTTAACTAAATCTCGGTTGCCAGATTTATTTCCTTACAAATTTCTTATTCATTTGATTGAACTAAATCTTTACTGCCAGATTTAGTTCTTTACACATTTCTATATCTATTACACTAATATTTGAGACACTTTTAAAACCCCTTGAGGATTATAGAGTTTCAGAAATTGTTACTGAAGAGGTGATCAAGTCTAAA